CGGTCAAATGCTTTTGCGAAGTCCATTACTAGCACGTCAGTCTGCTTGTGGTTCTCCAGATTGGTCATCAAGTCTTCTACAAATTCGAGAAGCTGGGTCTCACATGACCTATTGACTCGGAAGCCATGTTGACAGTCATTGAGTATATTTTGGCTTTCAAGATGCTTCATGACAGAGCTTACGATTATGTGCTCCAACAGTTTGCAGACGACGCTAGTGAGGGATATCGGACGATAGTTGGCAGGTTCGGAATGCTCTCCTTTCTTGTAAATTGGAGTGACATGCGCTGTTCTCCAGTCTGCTGGAACATTTCCTGTGCATAGTGACGATTGGAAGAGGATTGTCAGTGCAGGATAACTAAAGGGTAGCGTTGACCTTTTCAGAAAAGTTCAGAGACTATAACGCAATGTCTTAGATTTTGATTTAAAATTCGTTGAAAACTGTGTGTTCTCCTTGTTGGTACAGCATGAATGTTTTGAATTCATTTCGCGTATGGGTTTGCTATGCAAAATAGCTTCGTTAGAAAGTTGATAATTATACAATGATTTCGGAGCTGATTCCTCGAAGCTAAACGAAAATCCCTCTGGTGTCCACTCATCTTTCTTCTGACTTTTTAAATGTTTCGTTTATCCACGACCTCTCGTATCCATGTTTAAAGTAATCATTTGAAAACTAATTTTAAAAAAAAAATTATGAATGTTTACGGATTCAACCAAATTTTTTAAATTTAATAACACAACTAAAGTAATAATAATAATAATAAAGTTCATTTCAAAAACACACTTCATCCCCAAAGGCTCGAAGCGCGGTACAAAGTCAACAAAAAATATCTATAATTCACCACATTTAAAACAAACGCAACACTACAAAAACTAATTACAAGCATACAATATCAAAGTCTTTCTAGCCATTTCAACCCGGAGCAACACAGCAACACATGGAAAATAAGGTAGACAATCACCCCAGAAGGTATTTGCGAAATAGATGTGTCTTTAGATCGGTTTTAAAGGACTCCAGTGTCTGGTTGTTTCTAAGATCGACAGGAAGGGCGTTCCAAATTGTTGGACCAGCAAATCAAAGTAGTATTTTGATACAAGCAAAAGCATTTACAACTACTTTAGATATGTATGACATTCATGCGTATATTAAACATACTCATTTCAAAGGCAAAAAACTAAAGTCAAGCACAAAACATAGTAAGACAAAAGCAATTTTAATATTCTTTTTAAAAAAAAAGGTTTCAGATCAACACGTGTTAGTCTGTATCAAGAGCTCACGTGAAAGATCTCCTGTGTACCCTAAACTGAACAGCATATTGTTGTCTTTGTGTTCGATTTGTTGTAATTTATCGGCGATGTTTAAAAGGGCAACCTGGAAACATCACGCCATCAAAATGAAAAGTGTGTTATCAAAGACTAAAGCAAAAAGGATATATGTTATTAAATGTCCCAGGCACATTGATTAAAGGATTGCGATGGGACTTGTCACGTGACCCGCATTTTTCAAAACACGGAGATATGCTCTACAGTTTGACTCAACACTTTTGACATCTTGTTAATTACTAAATCATGGTCCTTGACACCTTTGACAGCTTTTTAATTACTTAATCATCGTCCCTCACACTTTTGACAGCTTTTTAATTAAGATAAGATTAGATAAGATTCTGTTATTGATTCAAATAAATGGAAATGTTTTTTGATTGCATTATACATTTTCAGCTAAAAAATAAAACAATTTGAACACAAGACATTTATAACAAATTATTTCAAACAACCATTCAGTGAGTTCTCTTAGCAAAATTGGGGACTTATTAGTTCTCATTCAGATGTGTGACTTCAGAGGAAGCATGCCAGTAAATTCGTACAGATTGGGGAACAAAGAATTTTTATATCTGTCACTTCTCGCCCAGATGGAAAGAATTCGTCCCGAACGGCCCGATCCCAAGTATCTGTGATGAAGAGGGTAGGATGTATCATCAAAAATGTGTTTAGTTTTGCAAAAACATCTTTCTTCAAATAGTTCTTCAAGTGAAGGATGTTAAGTTTGTGTTATGTTCCTAACTTTCTTGATTAGTCGGTTTATGTGGTGTTTAATATCAGTCGTTGAATTCCCACACCAGCAGGTGATACTGAAATTAAGCAGGCTTCCAATAGTTGCACTGTAGAATAAGTTAACTACTTGCCTGTTTACACCGAAATTGTACAGCTTTTTGAGGTAGAACAGTCTTTGTTTGAATTTCTTATACAGCATTTGGCCGTGCTCATAACATGTTAGCTTATTATTAATGGTGACACCTAAGTACTTGTATGCCTCCCCTTTCTCCTCATTTTGATTTTTTATGTTGAGATCTGTCATCTGTAAAATAATTACTTAATCATTGTCCCTTATCTTTCATGAAATTTATGTTACCTTCTTCTTAATCGAATTTTGACGCGGCATTCCTAGCATCACCTCGCGGCACATTGATGGCTCAGGTCTAATCTATAGAGTTCATTGGATTTCTAAAAAAAAAATATTGGTTATAAAAAGAATACCGAACTAAAATAAATAATCCATATTTCCTGAATTTATGCAACACGCTTACGAAACGGCATCTTTACGTTGATTAAACTTGATTTCCTAAATGAGCTTTACTCAATACTTCGACACACAAAATCGTTTCATTTGATTAAACTTTCTCTCCTGTATAAACAAGTCTCTCAAGTCTACGACACTTGCACTCATTTAATTTTTTACAGCTACTGTAAAACTGTCACAAAGTTTTTTTCAAACGGGTTTATGATGTTTTATAATTGAGACATAAAGATTGTTTACAATACAGAACTGTGAGAATGCTTTATTCGTTTACAACCCTGTTTGTTCTACTTTCACATCACGGTTCATTTCGCTGTAGTTTTTCAAGTATCGTTTGCTGCGCTTTAAAAAATACAATAAATCATGTTCTGCCTTTCCTACTTGGTTTTGTGCTTCGTGTTTGGTTTGTGCTTCATGCTTGGTTTGTGCTTACTGGTGGGTTCATGTGGTTTGGAAAAGTCTACATTTTACTTCAGTTTATTATGTGTTCTGAGTGTATGACGGGTAAGGGGAGTGAGGGGTCTAGATATGTTTTTAAAATCATTATAGACACTTTGATGCCAGTGGGCAAATTAGTTGCATTACGGTTTTCTAAACTTAAAATAGTGTGGACTATATAAGAGATATTTTCAAAGAAACTCGAAGAACCCTGCCGACGACGCCAAAACTGCAGCCGTGTGGGGGACGGCGAAGAATAAAGTTCCAATAAAACACAATGAAATGCAGGTCTGGGGACTATAGCGTCTTTATTCTTCTGGCACAATCCGTTTACAGTCCGACAGTAAAATCTCTCACTTAATATACCCAACTCGAAGTATTCGTTCTCACAAACAAAATCTAAAAATGTCATGTCTCAGTATCAGACAAAGCTGACTACTCGTACACAGCTCAAAACAGAAGGGCCCACGGGTTTAGATCCCAACTGCCTTATGTGGTCCAAAATAGATATCACGTCATGAGCTGTTTACCATTCCCCGCGGGGACAGGTATGCCCAGTGCAGTGACTGTGAACATGGATTTAAAAAAATCATGTCACAGTAGCTTGTTTTCTTTGCCCCATAGGTGGCACCTTACAAACATAGGTGGCACCCAACCCCATAAACATGTTATAAAAGTGCAGTTTACAAAAAGTGGCACAGTGCTACATCATACAACAGTGTTTTTCTATGGTTTATCTATTTTTATTCTGATCACCTTCTTGAACATTTTATTTAGCCTTCAGTCCCCGTCTATGTTATTAATGTAAAAACTCATATTTTATGTATATTTTTTTTCCACAATTTTAATGCCTCTTCTCAGCTCGATATGAACAGACAATCACAATTCTAAGAGACATTTAACTCACATATATATTAGACTAAATAAAAATGTTAAAAAACATACCTTTATTGCTATCAGTTAAAACGCAAACTTAAAAAGCACACAGAGAGAGTTATAGATCAATGTCTAAACATGTATGTTATCAATCCCATCATATGATTGTGTTATTGTTCAGCCAGCAATACATATAGGCCTCCGTCTCGTTTACTTTTGTTTACAACAATTTCCATTATATTCCTTCATATTGTAGAGCAATCTAACGGCTACCTGATGTTGGGTTACAATGCGGCCACGGTGGCGAGAAGTCTAACAGCTAAATGATGTGTGGTTACAAGGCTGAAACCATGACGAACAATCACATACACTGTGTCACTACAAAAAAGATTGAATGCTCTCTTTTAATACAATAAGCAAAGGGAGAACGAGCCATCTAAATGGACATGCCCATATAACTGATTAGTCCTGGAGAAAATATTAATAATTGATTTAAAGCTACAATACACAATAAAAATACAAATGTACACTAAATAAAATAACACTTCAGGTGTAACTGTAAACACAATATATATATGATAGATATTTTTTGTATATAAAGTTGTGCTGAATTTATTTTAAAATTATACATTGTATTTTTTTTATTGTCTGGGATATGACTTAACGGACCAAGAATTTTGTTCCGGCATTGAAGATTAGAAAAGAAAATCCCCAGGAGATGGATTCCCCCGCCCCCCCCCCCCCCCGTGTCTAGCGTTAGCCAAAGATAAATAACGTGTTGTCTTGATTGACAACACGAAAAGTTGGCCTTTAATTTACTTCCTGTTTAAACCTATTCAACTTTTGTATGAAGTTCTTTTTTCTGTAATAGCTATTTCTTTTTGTATAAGAACAAAATACATGATCTTTATGTACTGCCATTACTGAAACATCGAAATTGAAATGAAGCTGTCAGACATGATTCTGTTTCAAGATAGAAATGAGAATCGACACAAGTATGCTGAACTTTAACACGAATGTGTCTTGAGATCAGCAGTACTGATCGTTTAATATTCTATCTTCAGCAGCTATCACGGGTATATAAACAAAAATTGAATTTAACATTTACCTCTTTCTAGTTTTCACGTTATTCATTTTGAAAACCCTAAGTTAAAGTTATAGGAAACTCTCCATAAAAATATATTGAAGAGTTGATGCCCTTCTTTTAAAGCGTGTTAGGCACAATGTAATACAATGATTAAAACTATTCACAACAAGGTAGAAAAATATTTTTAAATCTAAAATGAACTTCTGTTACATAAAAATTATAATTTTTTTTGTTCTTTAAGTGTCCATATGCTTACTTAACCATTTCTGTTACATCAGTGGTTCTCAACCTGTTTGTCGCGACCACTTTTGGTTACGAACAACCCTTACATAGGGGCCGCCTAAGACCATCGGAAAACATACATATTCATGAAGTAGCAACGAAAACATGAGGAACTGTATTAAAAGGTCGTGGCATTAAGAAGGTTGAGAACCACTGTGTTAGACTATGTTTTGATCGTTAAATGTCCTTATAACCATAGCAAACTATATCTTATCGTCGGAGGAGATGGGGCGGGCCATAGAGTAAGGTCCCAACTCTGCAACAGATTCCAAAACAAAGTATGTTGGTGATGAGATCTCGTCTGGCAGTAAACCACTGCAAGGAGTTGTTAAACATGGCATTTTATTACCAAGTCGTGCGTCTGGGGTTGTCTTAACATGTGCCTGTGAGCTCGGTGTATCTGTTGTTTCATTAGCTAGTTCAGATTCTGATGGCTCGGCTTGTTGGTAGATTGTTGAATAAACTTTGTCATCAACCTGGTCAGTGTTGGTATAAGTTTTACTTAGCATTACATCGTGGTTAATGGTCGCATGGTCGCTTCTTTGTTGACCTTTCTGTTTACTGATCTGATGATCCTGAATTTGCTGACAGATCTGGTCAATGGTTTCATAATCCTGATTTAATTTACCTGTCTGGTCATTGGTCTTATAATCCGGAATTCGTTGATCTTTCTGGTCAATATTTTGATAATCGTCAATGTGTTTAATGCTTTCCCCATTGTTTTGGTAGCATTGATATTGTTGACCGCACTTCAGATTATCATCCAGGTTTTTTGAACATTCATTGTCCATGCAAGTGTAGACATCATACTCGTTACTCTGCCTGCTTTTGTCTAATACCTCTGACTTTCGAGTTATTCCATTTTCTTCCTTTAATTTGCCATGATCTTCTTTTTGCTCTTTTGGACCTTGGCATCTGTTGGATATTTTCCCACCATCTTTTTTCTTGAACAGTGGCAACATGCGCAAAATCGGGATATTATTGTAAAGGTTATCTAGTCGTATATTGCTTTTTTGATGGGCGTTGCTCGAAGTTGATGTATTGCTGGAAACATGTGTGGCCCGGTTGATAGTTTTTCGTTTTTTCCAAAATACGAACACGGCGATTGCAATAATAATCACAAGAACTGCTCCTAGAGTCAGTCCGACGATTAGTCCGCTAGAGGTGTGATCTTTGTCTTGTGCTTGGGATGTGATCTGTATCAATGGTGTCAATGTTGTCGAAGTTGTCGATGGCGTCGATGGAGTCGATGATAATATGTTGACAGAGGTCCTCGTTTCTAGCTCGTAGAATATGAAATAAAGTAAAATGGGTGCATTAATGCACCTTGAGCTATGGTTCGTGAAATCAGAAGAATATAAAAACTCATTGTTCTTATTCCAGAGTATCGCATTCGATCGTGAGCAGCACACTGCATCTGTCATGATGGCTGAACACATATAAAGATTTATTCTTTCACACATTATGCTTTGCGTGCTTGCAGTGTGGTGACAAGTATAAGGTGTCAAATTCTCAAATGAGGCACCTTTGAAATATGTTACAGAATTAGCAATTCGTACATCTCCTATCCAATCATAATGCATTGTGAAAGAATGTATGGTCTCATCGAATAATCCGTTCATTAATCTGTTGATACAAGAAAGATTCGTAGTATGCAATAAAATAAGATTAGTCTTAAATGATGTATTAGTTAATGTAAAAAAAAGGAATATGAAATGTCCTTCAAATTTGATTGTTTAGGATCTTAAGTGTAAAGATGTTCATAGTTTATACATGTGTACATGCAATATTTCAAAATGTCCAGCTTACCTTACTATTTGTTTGGTAATATTAATAATTAACAATAGGGTGAACTAATCGTCTTCTTCTATATCTTAAGGCCCCCACATTCAATGTATTGATCATTCTCGATCCAATGTATATAGAAGGGATTAATAATTTTTACCAGTTAGCTAAAATGTGTGAAGAGGAATAATGTTATTATTTTTTTTCTCCCAAATATTATTTGCCTTACTTACATATACGATACTTATTGATAGTTTATGTTAGTTTTTATTTATATTTGTATTGTTACTTTGTTACTCACACATATGTATGAATGCATACTATATGATTCCAAACCTTGTACAATGAACTCCTTCTGCCAAAACCTTTGCAAAATAGTTTGAAGCTCCCACCTCTCCCTGAATATTCATCCATGCCTGATCACATGGCCATATCTCTCCAATGAATGCCATCAGGATGAATGATATAGTTATCATGATCTCTGCCGGAATCTAAACTCAAAGACCAATTTATGCGATAAATAATATTTTCTATTATTATTAATAGGCTTTATTTGCCATTGTACGTACATTCAGAACTCAGAGTCGAAGATAGTACGAAATGTATGAGCACATATTTCAATAGTTCAATTGAAACTCTTTTGTAATGACGCTTTACCTTGAACTGCTACACAGATTAAAACTGAATACAATTTTCTCTTAAAAGAAATAAATATTTTTAATTTTAGAAATTCAAAGTATGTATTGGTAAAAAATAAAGATATAAAATAACGCAATACTGCCTAATTGGATAAAAAAGAAAACTGATTCATCTAACTATAGCGTGGCGATGAAAACTGTACCTGTGTGTGCATATCCTATTGAATGATACACTCTTTAAATAGGGCACTTTTGCTCTAAAATGAATTGTTCTATTCTGATGAACTAAATAATTCTTAACCAGACTAAGTCTTTGACCGACACTGCACCCTGTTTTGAATGTATTCGCTTTGCAGCGGTTTAAAGTTATCAAGAGAACTACTTCCTTATTCTAAAAGAGTGCATCACAAATAGCCTCTTATCGGCTTTGATTTCTCGACAACTGTTTACTCTTATCAAGTTTCGGTGCATTACAATAGTTTAGCTTTTGGTCATGTGGTTATGTTAACCCTTTTTTTTGCTATAAGGATTTTTAATAAATGACTTGATACGTATTTCTGAAGCTGCAATGCTGATTAAAAAAGAACATCATAATATATATTTAGATATTTTGTACTAGAACATTTTTGTCCCCCCCCCCCCTTTTTTTTTTGAATATTTATTCTTATGTTACATTAATAGCGCTTGCTTCTGAAGCTGAAATCTAAAGCACGACTTCCTCAACTTTGGCTTCAGCTATTCATCAAAATAATCAAACGCATCTACAACTTAAAATTGATTTAACATTCATGACTAAAATTTCAATTTAAAGAAGATCCTATAAGATCTTATATGCGATTTTATGTATATTATTCAAATGGTGAAATAAATTTAAGCAGTAGGTGTGATGCGGGGTGCGGACTGCCGCATCGTATGACACCCTTGCCGAAAAAGGGGTGGGCATAAAATGGAAATGTGTTAATGTAACAATAATCGTTCGAGTTCATTTTAACACTTAATTTAGTTAATTCAATGAGCGCAGTGTGTCACCAGAGTCGGAACACCACAGGATCAGTTTGAAATCGTAACGCGTTGTCACCAGAACAGTATGTTGCCAGGCATGGTGGGCTATCACAAGATCAAGGTCTCACCATAACAGGTTTCTACAAGAAGAGGGTGTCAGAGGCTGTCACCAGAACAGTATGTTGCCAGGCAGGGTGGGCTATCACAAGATCAAGGTCTCACCATAACAGGTTTCTACAAGAAGAGGGTGTCAGAGACTGTCACCAGAACAGTATGTTGCCAGGCAGGGTGGGATTTCACAAGATCAAGATCTCTACAAGAAGAGGAAGTCAGAGGCTGTCACCAGATCAGCAGGCTGCTATCAGAGTAGATTTACGTTTGTGAAATCATGTACGGCAATAGCTAAGTCATGTCTAACAATTGCCCTTTCGTGTCTGGCAATTGCAAAGTCATGTCAGGGAATAGCTGAGCCGTGCTGCCAGTAGGTAAGTCATGTCTGGCAATAACTAAGCCGTGTCTGGCAATTGCTAATTCATGTATGTCATAGGTAAGCCATGTCAGGCAAAAGCTAAGTCATATAGGACATAGATAAGTCATATTTCACAGTAGCTAAGCCTTGTCTGGCAGTAGCTAAGCCATGTCTGGCAGTAGCTATGCAGTGTCAGGCAGTAGTTAAGCCGTGTCTGGAAGTAGCTAAGCCGTGTCTGGCAGTAGCTAAGCCGTGTCTGATGACTTTGGTATCAACATCTATAGAGGCATGACTTGCAAAACTTCCAATGTCAACTTGCACACTGGCCTTGTTAGAGCCAATCAGCTATCAGTTCTAATCCACTACATCTGGGCTAAAATGAAACATTAAGAGAGGTAAACATATCAGGTCCTTAAAAAAATCAACCTCCGCAACAAGTTTTCGTTAATTTATAAGTAGTCAGACGTATACACTGTACCACCATGAACTATGACGTATGCACTGTACCACTATGAACTATGACATATGCACTGTACCAACCATGAGCTATGACGTTTGCACTGTACAACCATGAGCTATGACGTATGTACTGTACCACCATGAGCTATGATGTATGCAGAGTAGCACCATGAGCTATGGCGTATGCACTGTACCACCATGAACTATGACGTTTGCACTGTACAGCCATGAGCTATGACGTATGTACTGTACCACCATGAGCTATGATTTATGCAGAGTAGCACCATGAGCTATGGTGCATGCAATGTACCACCATGATCTATGACGTATGAAGAGCGGCACCATGAGCTGTTACGTATCTACAATTTTACGATGAGGTATGCTTTATAAACAGTCGCAACATCCATTTATTTGACTTATGCACAGTAGCACCATGAGCTATAGCGTATGTACAGTAGCAACATAAACCACGACGTATGCACATTATCACCATGAGCTATGACGTATGCACTATGAGCTCTCATTCATCCTTGTACACATGACGTGTGTATGACTTTTTAATAAAGACTAATAAACTTTCAGTGAAATAAAAATATAAAATATGAAATAATATTAGTTCGTTTTGACTTGTCAGCATGATGACCATCTCTGACATGGCATAGCCTCCATTAAATTTTGAAAATATATTTACAGTCTTTTTTGAAAAAATAAATGACACTGATAATAATCTATATTTACCTGTGTCACCTGAGCACATAAGCGTTATTGTTAAATTTATAATTTCTGCTCCCAGTGAATGTGACTGAAAATAGGTCGGCGGCTGCTCTAAAAAGTGCATTCGCTACTTTTGAACAGTACATTGATTACGCCTTCTATGCCAATCTCCCCGTGGTGTTAATATCCATATGTATTGATTGCCTGATGCATAGTTATGACAAATTCAAGGCTGATGATCCGATACCGATATTTGAAAATAATTATTTTCCAAATTTAATTTTTTTTTAATTTAATAAAAATAATTTTTTAATATAATTAGAGTCCGACAAGGCCCCTTAGGTGTATTCTCAGGGCCCACTAAGGCTATTGAGCATTTACAGCCCAGTAGTAGGTCATCCCACCGCCTCTAGAAGGAAAGGGGGGGGGGACGGGACGGTACCGCCATGTATGAGAGCCACAGAGATAGATCAGGTAATCGGGTAAATTAATTATTAGACACTGAGGTACAGCACTCAACAAGTGCATGAACGAAATGTGTTAGTTTGCTTCTTCTTTTGAAAATAAATAAAAACAAAAACTGTCCTAAATAGAATCTCAAGTCATCTGGTCAAACAATTCAATGTGGTGACCGCCAGCTTCCTTTAAGGATGAAGGATGTTGGCGTCATCTGTTGCACCCGTCTCGATCTAGGGCCCACATTCATCTCATAAGCTCGATTCAATCTAGGGCCTACACACATCTCTTACATCCGGTTCAAGCTAGGGCCTACACACATCTCTTACATCCGGTTCAAGCTAGGGCCTACACACATCTCTTACATCCGGTTCAATCTAGGGCCTACACACATCTCTTACATCCGGTTCAAGCTAGGGCCTACACTCAATGTTAGTTGTGTTACTTCCTTTTGTTACGCATGAGATACGATTTAGAATACAAGTATTCGCTTTGTGTGCTTCTACTTTGTAAGGCGACTAACTGCTCTATTTATACATTATAAAGGAGATATCAAATTCTATGTAGAAGAATTGCATTACAAGTCGGGCCGGGGGGGGGTGGAGTGGGTATATGACATGTGTAGTCGATAGAAGGTAATAACGTATGTGTTCCTGCTCTCTAAAAGGTAGATAGAATCTTGCGGGGCATTAATTTTGAGAGGCTATAATACAAACACCGATAAAAATAATCTAACAAAGGTTGAATACAAATTAGCACTGTGTTCAGTCACGTAGTGGAAACAAAGAAAAAGAATAAGCTAATTATGTTGTTTTTGTTCATACATTTATTCGCCTGGTTGTGCGGTTAGTTATGTCGACATCAAGACATGACATACCTATTTACGAACTTGGAAAACAAATACGGTTAAGAAAATATACAGGCCCTTCGGGTAGATGGGATTCCACATTATCGGATGGTGGTTTATATAACAGATGATAATCTCCGACTATAACCGTCACCCGCATAGTTTAGGCTACGAGAACAAGTGTTAGATTTTCTTTCCTTTGGGTCTATCGCGGTAATCACATGTCATTAATATACATTTATGGATAATTTATGCTGTACTTTTGAAATAATAGGACAAAATAACATTAACCAATAATTCTACTTCTTTGAAAACTGCTTCTTTCTTTAAATAGATGTGCTGCGTGTAAAACTGTTGAATTCAATAAAATACTTTATCTAGTATTTATGTAGGGATTACCAGCTGAATCACACCATAAACTCATGCAGGCGGCGTGATGCCCAAAATGTAAGATTGGACACATAATAATATAACTTTATTCACTTGATAAACAGCTGTGGAGTCTCAAGCCTTAATGTTGGTGCGTGCATTAAAAATTGATTCAATGAGCCAGAACATTCTACTATTGTTATGACAACTTGTTGAAACGCGATAACATCTCTTTACTAATCCACACACTTGAATTAGATGACTTATATTTACATGAATTAACCCAAAACGATTTCTAATGTTTAACAGCACAATACAAAGTTTTTAACAAATAGTTCACACACTCAATAAAAACTTAAAGGTCTAACACATTAACTGAGGCGTAGCGAGGATGTTTGGCGCCCGGGGACAAGATTCGCGCCCGGGGACAAGATCCATTTAAAGCGCCCCTATTTCTTTTGTTCAACTCTCAAGCCCATTATTTTCATCAAATAAAATAATATCAAAGCATATTTTGGCGTTCCTAACTAGTTGGCGCCCGGGGACATCTGTCCCCCCCTGCCCACCCATCGCTACGCCTCTGCGCATTAATCCCATAAAATTTAGTCAACTAATACATCATACCCTAAGGGGTATAGCACTGGTGTTTTTGTTTGTTTGTTTTGTTGTAATAAATCGAACTGTCACGCAAGCTATTTCAGCTCTTTGATGAGATGTTACCTTTATGTAATACGTACAAACTTGTTCCTGTGGTAGAGATAAGTCGCCCCCTTCATGAATTGAGACCTTTCTATAGTTTTCTACATCTGAAAGAGACTGGAATTGTGACTGCACATTATTATCATGTAAATTATATTGATTAACTGAATCCACAACCATTTACCCTTTCTGCCCATAACTATCCTTTAACTTTCGATCACTTATTTATTATAATGATAATAATTCGGATAATAATTAGAAGGATGTTCTTTGGGGAACACGTACTTTCAAGAAGGAAGCAACTTTTAAAGACATTACCAAAGATTGACTAATGATTACTTGTGACTATTGAAAAAAATGTGTTTACAAAAAACGTACTGAATTTTACTCTGCATTTCAAAATAATACTGTGGGTAATATGTTTCCAAAAATTAAATTATGCAACGGGGTAATTAATGACGCACAAAGCCCCTGCTGATGTCAAAGATAACCAACCAGGAAGTGGTATACCTGGCAGATGGTTTCAGTTGACCTTGCATGAATTCCTCCACTGACGTTGCTCGACTTAAACTTCCCTCGCCTACACTATTATTGTACACATTGTTTTATTCTCTTCACAACATTAACAACATGTCATTTGTTTTCATTTTATTAGATGCTCTAAATGACACAGGAAGAGAGAATGAGTGTTAGCTGGACGACACATCTGGGGTGTTTCCATTTCATTTACGCTTATATTGTTGTGTCTATTGTTTGTTGTTTGGACTCAAGGTCTAGAGATTTTGTAAGTTGTTAAGCATGGCTTGAAGGTTAAAAAAAAAACCCCTCTAATTCTAAGAAGTGATGCATGACTTAGAAGGTTTTCAAACCCTCTAATGTTGTAAGAAGTCAAGTATGCCCTAGGAGGTTTAAACATCCTTATTATTTTGTAAGTAGTCAAATGCGGCCTAGGAGGTAAAAATAACAACTCTAGCCGCTGAATGCGTTTAATTCCTTTTAACATCTTAATCCTTGTGTATTTTTGTTGTTGAAAAAGTGTGTTATTTATGAGAGTCAAGTACATCCTGAAACAGATCGTGCAAGGAGACACACCTATTTCATGTATGCCCTCTGACTATTCTATTGTATACAATAGGAGTCAGGCAACTATAATCATTAGATCTGTCATGCACGGATGTACAGCCACAACGTACTAGATTTATATTTCCTTTGATTTTAATATGAGCTAAAGTGTTTTGGATCAGTGGCGTACCTTGAAAAAATGCCACACCGGGGCGGGGGCAAATCCCCAAAGGAGCGTCCTTTATCACACATTCATCATGTACGTTATTTTATGCTTCTATAAACTATGTAAGTGCCAACTGCAGGTCAACCTCTTCGCATCCACCTAGATACACAACTGTTTCGAGCGTACAATTTACTTTGCTAAAAATAATGTTTAAAATAAATCACACAGAAAAAAAATGGTTATGAATGCATTTCCTGGCTTCAAAAATATATTACAAAATTTGTAAGTGTTAAAATATCCTCGAACAAAGACAAACAAAATTGTCGAACGTAAATAAGAAATGAAATGTTACGTAACTACCTTTAATTCTATCGTCATTATGTCATCAACAGTTGAAGTTGTGTAAGTCAGATAATATTTCACTCCTGGGTTGATGAAAACGTTTCAAATGCCCGTAAGGGCTGATGGAGTATTACTAACTTTTTCAATCACTGACTGCTATAACCGCCGCTAAAATTCAAATGGTCAAGTTCTTCCAAAGGGAAACTCTATTTTCAGCTTAGGCTTCTCTATTTCAGGCGTGTTTTTTTTTTTTTTTTTGCCACTTTTTACAACACATTTTTTTTCTTCTTTTAAATTGCTTATAATCACTTAAATCTGTAGTGAATACCACATCAAAAAAAAATGTCTAGCGTAGGTTTTAATTTTTTTTTTATTATTTAAAAAAGCATTCATAAGCACGTAAAATAATAATATGCTCTTAGTTTAAAAACAAAACACAAACCCACTATTTTTCAAAGGCGATTCAATTACTAATTTCGTCAAAAATTGGACCCTTTAATATATATGACAGCATACTGTAATCAGAATCATCACGAACATGAGCAACTCTTGGCTTAGTGCTCATAAAATTCGTCAAAGTTAAATACAGAAAATTAACAGATCTGTTTAACTTTTGTTCTAGTCCTGTTATGCTTGTCAACTTTTGTTTTTACAAATGTAGGCAAAAAGTATTTATTTTCAATTCAAATTCTTAAAGATTTGAAATACCTTTTAAAAATTAAATCAATAAACTATACCACAGTATTCATTTGATTAATTTTTAATTAAAAGTACATTTGTTTGGTAATTATGTAAAATATATTTCTAGCTTATGTAAATATAATGTCATGTTCGAAGTGCAAGTATTTGGCTTGTCTTAGCTCTTTTTTTTCTAGGTTACTCCATTATCAAAACGTTACATGTAGACCAAACACGTGTAAATTACATTTAAAACAAACAAAACGTACATGCATACAAAGCAACACAAAAAAATGCATAGATTTTATCTTGATAACGTTAAAATATTTAAAAATTATACAGAATATATCACTAGCCATTTTCTCACTGTTCCATCGTCGATGCTTCATTTTTTACATTTTCATCATCACCACAATTATCACCATCACCCACATGATCACCATCACCATCATCACCAGATACATTTTGCGCCATGGAGTACTGAGGCAATTCTCCTTCAGAAAATAAAACGAAATAAGCCGAGGACATATCTGGTTCCGCTGGCAACTCATTGTAAGGATCGGTTATATTTTTGTCATTATTTCCAAGCACTGAGTAGGGGTTCTTAGCAACAGTCGCAATCTCATTAGGTTCTCTCACTATTAGGTTATCATTTTGTGAGTTCTCTTGTTGAACGACCGCATCGGCTATCGTTGAGTAATCCATTAAGAGATCATCACACTGGTCAGTGGTTTTATAATCACCAACTTGAACATCAGGCGAATCAATTGTTGTATAATCATCAATTCGCTGTTGAACTTCTTCATTTGATGAATAATATTCAATTTTATCGATGTCCTGGTCATTCGAAGAATACTGAGGTTTCGGGACATCGTAAACAATTCCTGTGTAATTCCCCTCAACAGGATCGGTGTATTCAGTATTTGAATAGTTTGATTTAGTATTGCCTGGCTGGTGATCAAAGTCGATTTGGGGTTTTGATGGAATTGGACGTCCGTTGTTCTTGTTAGCGGGCAAAACGTTGACACTTGTATGGACATTGTAAAGATTTGGAACGTTACGTTGACTTGTGTTCTCATAGTTTCCAGGGCTTGAAGCATTTAAAGCCGATTTAGAGTTTGAATCTTTTATGTGCTTTCTTTTTTTCCAGATGATAAAGCCGATGATCGCTAATACAGCAACTAAGATAACAGCAACAATTATACCTATAATGAGACCCGTATTGTTAACTTCTTCACTTTTTTCATGTGTTGATGTTGTTAGAGGTGTGGTTGAAGATGATGAAGTATGCACTAATTCATAGACAAAAAAGATTAGTTTATTTGTTTCATTACCACATTTTACGGTAAAGTTTCTGATTTCAGGTGAATATAAAAACTCTGAAGATGTATTCCAGAGAATTGCATTTCTATGTGAACAGCAAGACTCGTTTGACAATTTCAGCTTACATTGGTCCATGGTTTGTCTTTCACATGTTACATTTGATATGTTTGCTTGGTCCCAGCATTTGAAAAACGTGCTATCATTATCTGTTTTAAAGAATGTAATATCTGTTGCTGCAAAAGGTGGAACGTCTACTTTATGGTTCATAGAAAAAGAAGACGATCCATTGAAAAGGTTTTCCATTAATCTGTAATAAAGTTAAGTGATTTTAGTGCATTCAGATAATCTACACATCTAACTATAAGTTAATAATATACATCGAGGCCAGAAATCTTTAACTCTTCCTTTACCATCATGTCCATTATCTCTTGATCAATCCATAAGCTTGCTATCAGTATCAAATTTGATATTAAGAACCTCTATTTAATCATGTCTAATAACTTACAAATTTAAAAAAACAACTCATTTAGGTATTTAATTTTTTTTTACAGTTATCGGAAATGATAAATTTATTTATTTTTAAAATTAATTTTATTTAAATATCTTTTAAAACATAATATGATTTGTTCTTTTAATAATTTGTCATGCTAATTTATTAATTGTATCTATATATATTCATCTGGTAGTTATGTTACCTGTACTCTAAATTCCTTGTTTAGTTCTTTAGAAGTTTTTATTTTAATATGCCACTGTGTGTGCTGTGTAATGTTTTTAGTTCGATTTCCAACTTTTGTCTTTTAAACACATATGTGAACTTCTTCATTTCGGCCTCAATTTGTATAAAGATTCAGATACATGACAACGCATATAGTTATAAATTTACCATCAAACTGAACAAAAACCTGGTTTGATCAGAAAAAGGGCAAAACCTACTAAAAGGGCTCATGCGAATAGCTTAACATAATAGAGGAGCAAAACTTTTTAAAAAAGCCATTTAAGAAAAAAAAAACTTTAATTCTTTTTTTCGTTTCATGAGAATGTTAGCTTCCCCAGTCATCTCATGGATTTAGTTAATGTCAAGTTAATTCAAATCTTCGCAACAAGTTGCAGTAGCTTTGTTTTATTTTAGATAAATATTAACTTTATTATCGTGTATGCTAGGTGCACAGCACTTGTAACAACTGTAAATTTAGCTTTAAAATCAATGATAATTTTAAGACAACCCAGAACCTCAAACTTATCTTAATAACATATTTTATTTTTTCTACTGATCTATGAACATTTACGGGATCTTATTTTAAAAATTCCAACAATAAATGATAACATTTCATTTTAATTATTGGGAGCCCTGAATGTTATAAATTTTATATTTAATTCGAAAGACAATCATTAATTTTTGCTGACAGTTTATAACTTCGTTTATATCCTAGGATAAATCCTGTTTTCTCTTTGTTTATTGCATCGAGGTTGGAGAATTCGCACCATTGTGGAATTTTGTAGAATAAAAATATATGTAATTCTCAATCATTTTATTTTAAATTAGTCTCTCCTAATATAAGGGCTTGCTCTATGAGTAGACTACATATCATTTTTTCAATTATTTGAGATTACTATTCACTGATATACGAATTAAAAGAAAACTATTTTCATAATTTTTTCATTAAAGAAAAGAACTAAATAATGATAATTTAAAGTAAATATGTTAATGTTTAAACAAAAGTAATTACTTTAAAATACTGACTTTTCAGCGATGCTTTCCGCAGCTTCAATCTGTCTATAATAATTCCCACATGTACTGTCTCCACAGATGTTTATTGTTATTTTTTTACACATTACCGTCTCCAAGAAAACAGTTGAAATAAGAAAACTTGTCAACTCTAACACTGCAGATTGCTGTAGAAAAGAATTTTTTTTTTTTAAAAATAAGAAATTTGTAATTTACAAAAATCATATCTAAACACTTGTTCATTTAAGGAGATGTGCTAAAATGTCTGAAATTAGTTTATTAAAAACAACTTTTGAGTTATTTTAAACCAAATATTCTTCACGTTTTAGATCAACTTAATTGTGTTAACATTCACCTGAAATCACTTACTCAAGGTTTAACTTTTCCCCCAAGAAAAGCAACCTTGCTGAGCTGACAAAATTATTGTAACACGATTTTAAATATCTATTTTCTAGGCACACATAACAAAAGCTTCTGCCAGTGGAAACATTAGTTACTAAATGATGATATTTTCTAAACACTTAAATAACGACGTGCATAAATTTAAAAAAAAATTGATTACATATTCGAAAGGCCTCTAATTAGTTCTTTTTAAAATGAATAACGATTTTTTTACTGGTTTATCAGATACTATTATTATTTTTTAAAGTTTTTTTTGTTGTTGCTGGTTTCAATTTGGTTAATTCTGGATGTCGGCAATACCGGCCATTTGCTATCTCATTGTAACTTTATTGCATGATGCTATGGGAAGAATTTTTTTTTTTTTAAAATTCAAGACAATACAATATTAAATACTCTGTATTGAATATCAGCATTTAAAAACAAACAAAAAACTAAAACAATTAAAACAAATTGAACACTGCACTTAGGTCTGTAATATTTTTGTAACGAACATTACTGAGAAGAATTATAAAATATTAAACCTAACTTATATTTTCTTACTGTCTGTATCGGTCTTAATATCCCTATCATCTTCATTCGTTCCGTAAATAAACTTGTTGAAGACTCTCAGTTATGGGTAACACTGCACCTAACCAAAATGATTTCTCAATAACGTTTGTAACCGGATTTAAGGTACGGTGATAAAAATATCCTGTTAATTTACATCCTGGTTCATAATAACGGCTGTAAACAGTGTTGCGGGACAAGAAAACTTGTCTTAGTTAAACACTTCTGTCATAGTTCGAGAAAAGTGACAATTTATATTGAAAACTGAAAAAAGACACACATATCAGAAAAGAAGAACAGAAAGATCTAATAAGCGAACATAATCAAACAAACAGATAATAAAATAAATCCTTAGCTTAATTAAAGAAGATCAAGATTATCTCAATCGGATAAATATTATTGGAGCGTTCGGATAAATATGGGAGCGCATACGGGATATATATACAAACATTAATTTTATATATGTATAATCACAGTTTACCGAAAAAAAACCCATTTGCGCAACTATTCAAGGAAGCGCTAGGTCCATCACCCATCCATCCGTCCATCCATCCATCCATCCATCAATCCATCCGTCCATCCATCCGTTCGTCCAACCATCAATCCATACCTCAATACATACCTCAATCCATACCTCAATCTATCTATCTATCTATCTATCTATCTATCTATCTATCTATCTATCTATCTATCTATCTATCTATCTATCTATCTATCTATCTATCTATCTATCTATCTATCTATCTATCTATCTATCTATC